TGTGTGTGTGTGTGTGTGTGTGTGTGTCCGATGCATCTTATTTTTTAACTGTCACTGGTTGTGAAAATTCTTAAGCATAAGCTAGAAAAAAAAAAAGCGATTTTGAAGTAATGTAAAAGCATACCTCGTTTAAATTATTTTAAAAGGACTGTTTCTTCTCTAGCACTGGCGGTATTATGTTGGCAGACATGATAACTGCTTTTGTTACTTTTTTGATTATATTAGATTAAAGGTTGAAGAGAAAATATTAAGAAGGAAAGAAAACAAAGAAAACGAGGAAAAGGGTAGCAAGATGGGAAAGGGGACTGAGGAAATATTTGTTATAGGTAAGAAATGTTTCGGTCCAGTAAGTCGTGTACAGTTCTTACCGTTACCACAATTGCACCTCGTCAGTACGACGATTGCGGTAACAAAATAATTTAGTGAGGTGTAAAAATTAATTAAGATAAAGGAGATGAAAAACAGAAATGAAAGAAATGGAAGAAATGGAAGACCGGAAGTAAGTAAGTAAGTAGAAGGAGTAGAAGAAATAGAGAAGTTGTAAAATCAAAAATTTATAAATTCTAAATTCCCTTGCCTATGCATTACTTATTGCATGCATCGCTTATCTCGTTTAATTATAATATCGATAGATTGCCTAGATTAATCGGCCAGCAATTTTTACAAATTTTGATTAACAAAAAAAAAAAAGAATATTGAAAATCTACATGAATTCAGTGTTGCCCGTTCATAGGTGAAGTAAAATCGAGATTAAAATGGGCTGATGGGGCAGCAATAAAGCGAGAATTGGATCTTCGTATGATGCTTTTGCTTGGTCCAAAAACAATTGCTGATATTCGTGGAGGCACGAAACAGGCTGAGGAAAATGGCCCAAAACGAAGTGGCCGAAAAAATCTCGAGCAAGAAACTGTGATAAAAGGTAAAATCAGGACTTTTCTAGCATCAGGCTTAGCTATGAAATGTAAATGAACTGAAATAATGCATAATTTAATACAAAGAATTAAATTTACAGCAATTATCATAATCGCCGTACTGACAAGATCCAGTTGTGGTAATGGTAAGAAATGTAAACGACTTAATGGAGCGAAGCATTTCTTACCATTATAATGATTTTTATAAAATAGTTTTACAATTTTTGCGAATTTCTTAATATTATTTGCTGTTGTTTTCTTCCAGCTTTAAAATATTTTTCTATTAATGTTATCTCTGTTACGGTTTGCAAGGTGGGAAGTGTTCTGTAGATTAGCAATTTTTGCGCATTATTTTACCCCACTTGGTGTCACTGACATTACAGAAATGTACCTACAGCTATGGCAAACCCTTCGGCTAATCCTTCGGTCCAAAACTATATAGATTTTTTGCGTTTTAGTCTGTTTTGTGTTTGCTTCTATTGTAAAATTGGCCCGAACTTATTTAGAAAACTCAGAATGCAGGGGTTTTTTTTAATATTCCACCAAAAATATTAAAAAAAAGTACTCACATTCCGAAAAATTCCTCGAAAATCCAAAAGTCGCGATAGAAAAAGACATTTTTTAAACTTCACTACTTATATTTTTTCGTTTTTGTAATTATCATAAGAGTTTTGGACAGAAGTGAAGAGAATTTGGTATCTTCTGGAGTTTTTTCAAGTATTTTAATTGCTTATTTTCTGTTTTAGCTATTTTGGATTATATTTCCATGCAATTTTCCAGTGTTTGACATAAAAAAAAAAAAAAAAAACGCTTT